TGGCAAGCCATGTTGCGCTGCTACAGGGGACACTGAATCCTTTCTTTTATGCCTGAGTAAGGTTACCAACCTCAAGGTGGGTCCTGGAGTTCTCCCAGAACTACTAGTGACCTCTAGACAACACAAATCAGTTCTCCTGGATGAAATGGCAACCTCATAGGGCATACCATAGAATCTAGGAGAAACAGAAGTCCTAGAGCAGTGATGGCGAACCTTTTAGAGTGCCCAAACTGCGACTCAAACCCCACTTATTTATCGCAAAGTGCCAACACGGCAATTTAACCTGAATACTGAGGTTTTACTTTAGAAAAAACAACTCATACATTAACTTAAGATGATCCCAACAAAGTAAGGAAAGCAATCCCAAATGCTTTCATTGACTTAAAATTATTTGCCAGAGAATTCGACGCTTTAATGATGGTCTGGGCCTGGCTGGGGCGATGGGACGCGTGCCCACAGAGAGGGCTCTGAGTGCCACCTCTGGCACCCGTGCCATAGGTTCGCCACCACTGTCCTAGAGTGTCCTTCTCAGGCATCAGCCCCAAATCTCCAGGAATTCATCAAGCTGGAGTTGGCAACTTTATCAGCCTGAGACAAGCAGAAGACCTCATCTGGCTCTTCCCGTGTTTGCAGCAGTTGCTGTATGGCAGCTTAGGAGCAGTTTGTAATGCCAGGTTCTGCTTCAGTCAGTGGGCCGCAATCCCCAGTGGCGACCAGCAGAGAGCTCAGCACCTCCTCTGCCTGGACATGGATAAAGGTGGGTTTTTCCTTTATCCAGTCTTTGCCAGAACTGGTTTACCATGAACTGCAGAGGAGAAGAATTGCAAGTGACATTTGGTCCTCCGAGGCTGCGTTCATACTAGCAGTCTGGGCCGCTTGAGCTGTTCTCCCCTAATGGAGTAAACTAGCCGGGTCACACAGGCAGAGGTCATTTCGGGGGGGAACGCGGGGGAACGCAGTTCCCCCGGGTGAGGGGCGGGGGGCGGGGCACACGATGAAGCCCCGCCCCCTGCTTCCGGCCGCCCCGCTTCCAGCCCTCATTCAGCCAGGAGGAGGCAGGAGAAGAGGGAGGGTAAGTTGCTTCCTCCTCGCCTCTTCCCACCCCTGCCTGCCTGGGGCCAGGGAGGACCTTTGCAGGGCTTCCTCGCACTCCCGCCAGCCTTGCAGGTCCACCGCCGGGCCCCTGATGTCAGGGGGTGTTGCATATGCTAATGAGCTATGCTAATGAGTTCCCCTAGCTCTTTGTCTACGAAATGACCCCTGCACACAGGCACGCCTGCTAGCCATTCCCTGGTCGCACTCACCCCACTGGAAGACGAGTTGGAGACGGGTAAAAAGACTGTAGGCGAAATCTGGTGCAAATGGCTCCCCACGCATTCCTCCTGCGTTCCCGGATGTCTGAATGCAGGGGAGGCCAAACAAAATGGATAGGCGGTGTAAACCTGCCAACCCACCCTGGACGTGTGGGTTTTTTCGCCCCACAGTCCACAGTGCACATATGCACATATTTATTTATTTGTTTTGGGATTTATAGCCCGCCCTACCCAAACGGCTCAGGGCGGCTGACAAGCGGCAATGCCGAATTGAAAAGATTAAAAACAGTAAAAAAATGTCACATACATAGTAAAATTCGGTGCTCTAATATTCTACATAAAATCCCCAAGATGTGCAGCATCCCGCATTGACGGCCAGCTTTATTAAATGGTGTGAGCACCAGGAATTGTATTTTCCCCATCTCTGCCAGGCGACATCTATGCCAAGGATATGCCAAGGATATTTTTTTTAAAAACTGTGCTTAGTGGATGGCACGCGGCAACTCACTGGACAATCCATCACAGCCCCAGTGCAATACCGAGGCACCTCCTGCTGTGGTGCGTGGCTGCGATTCTGCATCCCTGATTGGAATGGAGAGATTCGCTCCGCCTCCAGAGCACCCCAAACTGCTCTAGCCTCATATTGCCTAGTGTTCTGCAGAACCTCCCTGGTAGAGAGATGCCTTTCCCAACTCCTGCTAGCAGAAGGCCTTTAGCTGGAGAGGCCAGGGATGGAACCAGGTTAGGGTTGCCAATCGCCAGCTGGAGCCTGGAGCAATGCTCCCTCTAAGCTGTAGAGTCTTGTGAGCAAAAATTCTACTTTGTGAGCTCCTGGCATTAAAGCTGTGAGCGAGCGATTTGCCTATTGCATAAATTAGTGTGCTCTGCAGCCATCCTTCCCAAGCTAAGACAAAAATGTGTGAGCCGGAGGCTAAAAAACTGTGAGCCAGCTCACACTAACTCAGCTTAGAGGGAACACTGGCCTGGAGTCACCCGATGATGAAGTCATGAGATCATGACAGAGTCACCAGGTGACGGCTGTTCCAGAGGGCGTCACATCCTCACTGAGCTCCCTCCCTCCCTCAACTCCACCTTCTCCAGGCATTTGCCAAGCCAGAGTTGGCAACAATTGGGGCTGCAAAAACCAGCTCTTGGACACTGGCCTCTAATTATTGCCAAGGGGCGGTTGTGTGTGAGTCTGTTATAGCAAAATAAGAAGAGTCCAGTGAGACCGTCAGTGCTAACAACATTTATTTCAACATTAGCTTTCATGAGTCACCCCTCGCTGCTTCAGATGTGTGGAAGTCACACTGGGAATCTTAAGGGGGGGGGAGATTATTGAGGGGTGGAGGAGGAGGAGTTAAGGCAGGAAGTGAATTCCATCGTGGCACTTTTCAGTGTAAATCTCTCTCCCCCCCCCCCCCCCTTCCCCCAGATTTACACTTCAAAGGTTTCAGGATGGAATTCATTCTCTGCCTTGATTCCTCTGCCCCTCTCCCCACTCTTCTCCCTTCAGTTAAGAGTCCCAGTTTGATCTCTGAAGTGTAGTGGGTTAAACACATGATGAAACCACGGAGACTGATGTAGCAATCAACATGGTTTACTGGTACACAACAAAGACAAAGACAAACGGCCGGCTGGCCAACTATATACCTGGGGGCACACCCCTAGGTCCCGTTGGTGGGTTTAAATCTCCTGCCACGGTCCCATTGGTCCCCCAGTGGAGAGACCAGGAGCCTAGTTGTTGGATGTTACAAGTTAGAACACTTCTATTTAGTGTTTACTGGGTTAATACTGTTTACTGAATCACATGTTTGTTTGTGACCTATCTGTTTAGAGAGCTAGAAAGCCCGCCAGATTCAGATCTAGTTTGTTGTTTTGATTGGAGGCTAGAGTGGCTACTATTTAGCATTTTATGACCCTTTGTCCGAGAGCAAGAAGAAGCTCCAGTCTCCATTACTCTTCGTTAGTCTGTCTAGATTGTGAGGATGTAGAAAATAAAGCTCTTTGTTATTTTTCATCCTGTTTACCCTACCCATGTTAGGTTGTAGTAAACTTTTATATTTTGAACTACCATGGACTCAGACTCATTTATACTCTGCTGATTCTGCTAATTAATATAAGAAATTAAACAAACACAGTCTCCAATACTAGTCCCCATCGCTGGCCCCTGGTGGCGGTCAGCGGACACAACAATCTCCGTTTATTCAAAGAAGTGGGCTGTGGCTCACAACAGCTCAAACTGCAGTCCCACAGACTAAATAATCCACTTTCAGTCCACACAGTAAAAGCCCAGTTGGAAAGTGCAGTGAAAGTGGATTGACAATGGATTGTTTAGTGTGTGTGACCACAGCCTGAGCCTTTAAGGCAGGGGTCCCCAACGTGGTGCCCACTGCCACCCTTCCTGGCGCCCGCCCACTTGCCCAGCCATTCCTTCTCCAACCATGAGGCCCGCTTGATGGGAGTCAGAAGGTTTACCCAAGGATGTCCTTCAAAGGAAGGCTTCCAGGCAAGTGGTTTCAGAAGGGGTGAGATAGCATTTAATGTGGTCAAAGCAGAGATTTACATTTGTTTGAGAAAGGAGCCATTTCCTCACAGCTGTTACCTCACGGGTCTTCCTTTCCTTCAAGATAAACCTTATTCTCTTCAGGATCCAATGGACTCAAGGAGTAAATCTTAAACTTTGGATTATTTTTCAGAACAGAAATCTGAACAGTTGGTGATGGCATACAGAGAGCAATAGAGAGATGGCTGCTACAAAAAAAAAATGTCACTGGCTCTACCTCCTGTGGCAGCCAGTTTGTGGTTACTCCCACCACCCTGGGCCAGAACTTCAAATATGCCCACAGGCTCAAAAAGGTTGGGGACTCCTGCTTTTAGGTGCCAATGGACTTTCATCTTCCTTTAGAAGAAGAGGAGATTGGATTTATACCCCGCCCTTCACTACCCAAAGGAGTCTCAGAGCGGCTTACAAACTCCTTTCCCTTCCCCTCCCCACACTCTGGGAGGTGGGTGGGGCTGAGAGAGCTCTGACAGAAACTGCTCTTTTTCAAGAACAGCTGTGCCACAGTTATGGCTTGCCCAAGGTCATCCAGCCAGGTGCAAGTGGAGGAGTGGAGAATCAAACCCGGTTCTCCCAGATTAGAGTCCGCACACTTAACCACTACACCAAGCTGCGGCCATTCACAATACACTGTCGCATGCAGAGTTAGGCCATACCTCACTTTTGGCTGCAGTTCTTGTGGGCTTGCAAGTTGCAGCAGAGGAAGGGGTCTCTCCCCTTGTGCTCCAAAAGATCTTTCAATCAGACCTGGCTGGGATTGGACCTGGGACCTTCGGCATTCAAAACAGGTGCTCTACCACTGAGCTACACACACAGCTGAAAGGTTCATTGTTTAAGTAGACTGCATGCCAAATTCTACTGCCTCAGACAGTGGCATTCGTCACAAGCCCTGGAGAGGTGCTATGCAACTATCAGGGCTCCTCTCCAGACAGATCTCACGCCGGCCGGTGCTATCAGATGGCCGTTTCACCAAAGCTGAAAAGATGGCCGTTAGAGATGAGAGCCAGGGAGCGGGCCGGGACCTCCCACTTTGACCCCAAACCCAGCTGATGTCTCTTCCTGACTCTGAGAACCAAGCCTACAGGCAGCTATAAAACCAGCTCAGTCAGACCTCTGCCATCTGAAGGCGGACGTTCACCCAAGAGAGCCGGACACCAAGATGAAGAACTTCCACCAGCACCTTCTCCTGCTTCTGATGTGTTGTGGCTTAGCCAGACCTGGTAAGGAATGGGAAAGTGGGCACCAGTGTTCCCTCTAAGCTGGGTTAGTGTGAGCTAACACACAGTTTTTTAGCCTTCGGCTCACAGATTTCTGTCTTAGCTCAGGAAGGATGGCTCTGGAGCAAACTAATTTATGCAGTAGCCAAATCGCTCGCTCACAACTTGAATGCCAGTAGCTCACAAAGTAGAATTTTTGCTCACATGACACCACAGCTTAGAGGAAACATTGGTGGGCACCTAGATCTGCCCATACATCAAGTATTCTAATTCTATAGGGACCTTGGGCAAGGCCTGAAGAGTGGAAACCCTGCAGGGTGAGGTCCATCTAGCTCAGCTTCCTGCTTCTCATGGTGGTCAGCCAGATGACCCCTAGAAGCCCAGGGGCAGATCGGAAGGCAGCAGCTTTCCCCCCGCGGTTTGCATTCGCTATTCAGATAGAGGACCTGCCAGCCCAGATGCAGTCTACCTCTGCCTTAGCTGGCTTAGATGGCATGAGAAAGAGGCTTCGCTATTTCACAGAGGGTGGGTCTCTCAGCAGCTGACATTAGCTGAGCTCGTGAAACAGAAAAAAGATGCGGCTCAACGGGGCCGACACCATACTTGACTGCAGAGTCACCCCTGAATGGCCATAAGATGGCCATAAATCCATGCAGACGCTACCATAAAAGCAAGCGATCAAACAAAGGGAAAGCAGCATGCGGCCTGGACACTGCCACAAAATCTGACAATCAGTCAAAGTGAAAGTGGCATGCAATGCAGAGGGGAATTTCTGTTCCAGCGTGGGTTTGGTAAAACAGCGGCGCAAATGCTGGATGCAGACTGGGCCAATGGCAGCGGCCGGAAGCAGCTCTGGGCCAGGCGCAGTGGCCGTAAAAGCCGGGCTTTTGGGTTTGGCAGGCAGTGGGGGCGAGTGGGGGCCCCCACGTGGACTTTGATCGTTCTCTGCCGTGGTTTGCCCTCCTCACCTCGTAATAACTTCCAAATGTTTACCCAGCCTTTAATTAAGTTTTAACTCTCTTTTCAAATTTTCTGAACAAAGTTTGAGGCCAGCGGCACCTTCAAGACCAACAAAGTTTTATTCAAGATGTAAGGTTTTTTGTGTGTGTGCTTACACCTTGAATAAAGCTTCTACCCAGAAACGAGACTTTGTTGGTCTTAAAGGTGCCCCTATACTCAAACTTTGTTCTACAGCTTCAGATCATCATGGGGATCCACCGGACTGTATCCTCAAATTTCTGAACTTCTTTAAGTGTATTTGAATGGTTAGGATATTTGTGTCCTTTTGTGCTGGCATTCCTTTCTAACACTATGGAATACTTTTCAGAAAGAACAACAACAAAAACCAACCACCTAGCTCTTATTTATTACCAAGAAACTTTAAAATTAATTATTGCTGCTTATGCTCATATCGAACAGCAGCTAAGGGAAAATATCTGATCTTAATGCCCTTTTTAAAGAATTGCACATTGCCTTGGTTTGTATTGATTTCCTTGCAAGCTGCTTTGAGTACTGTTGGCTCTTGGCATGAAGTTATACGTTTTTTAAATCCTTCCCTCATTCCAAGGAGCTCCTGGCCCTTCCCCTTTTCTCTTCAACAACAACCCTGTGAGGCAAGTGAGACTATGACTGATCACCCAACAAGTCTCATGGCAGAGTGTGGACTTGATCCTAGATCAGAGCCCCAACCCTCTGGCCTCTACACCAGGGGTGTCAAACTCATTTGTTATGAGGGCCGGATCTGACACAAATGAGACCTTGTTGGGCCAGGCCATGTGTGTCATAAAATGTAATGCCAGGTAGTGGAGATATAAACTTAATAAAGGATACAAAGGGTTTTTTTTTTAACTTAAAATAAAAACATGCTTAAAACATGAGCACTCTTGCAATATTTTGTTTATTTAACAGTGTCTGATAACTGACACCTCTTGCTCTGAATTATTGCATCAAAATGTCTGTGCTGTTGCAATCTTGAGTATGCTTTTCAGGTGTGTATCTGTAAGCTGCAAACCTACGATGACACAGCAGCAGCAGAACTGGAAGAAGAAGCAGAAGACAGCCAGTTCCACTGTGGGCCTGATGGAAGCCCTCCTGTGGCCTGATCCGCCCCCTGGGCCGCATGTTTGACACCCCCGCTCTACACCATTACAAGGGAGGCCCAAAATCAAATTGCCATTCTCCCTGGGTGACCTGGAGCCAGTCAGTCTCCTCTCAGCCTGACCTACCCTACAGGGATGTTGTGAGGACAATAGAGTTGAAGCGAAATTTTACAACATTTTGAAAAAACTGGAACGCAGAGCCAAGAAGCTGCCTGGCCATATCCATTTTACCCCACCTTCCCAAGGTGCTCAAGGCAGCTGCCATTGCTCTCCCCCACTTTATTCTCACAACAACCCTGTGAGGTAGGTTGGGGGAGAGAAGGCCTAGCCCGAGGTCACCTGATGACAGGGTCTGCCAACCGTACATGGAGGGCAGGGACACACCCCCACGCCCTTTGTCTTTTAAGAATGTGTGTTGTGACTCTGGGCCCTGACCTGGATAGCCCAGGATAGCCCGATCTTACAGCTCTTGGAAGCTAAGCAGAATCAGCCCTGGCTAGTATTTGGGTGGGAGAGCAGCAAGGAATAACCGGGTTGTGATGCAGACGCGGGCAATGGGAAACCCACCTCTGAACATCTCTTGCCTTGAAAGCTGCACAGCTGTGACTTGACGGCACTTCCACCCCACATACACCACCTGTTCCCCTGCATGCAAGGGTGGCCTTCTGGATCCAAGAGAGAGCTACTGACTCTTCTTGCGCTTCCTGCAGGTCGTTTGCGGAGTCAGATCATCGGGGGCCAGGAAGCCAAGCCTCACTCCAGACCTTACATGGCCGCCTTGAAGTTGGGATCTGACTTTGGCTGTGGTGGATTTCTGGTGGCGCCTCAATGGGTGATGACCGCAGCGCATTGCATGAGGTAAGTCCTGTCCATTCCGCCCAGGAAGTCATTTATTTATCGAATTGACATCCCGCTCCCGCTCCCCCCGAACGGGGCTCGCGGTGGTCAACCGCGTGTAAAACACACCCAATGAAAACAGCACAAAAGATACAATGAACTTTAAAACATAAAACGATTAAAAATCTATCCCCATTAAAATCTATCCGCTCTCAAGGAGGGTAAGATGTGTGGATGGTGAAGACGCAGCTGAAGCAGGCCAGCTGTTTGGTGGATCACAATCACCCAAAGGCTGGCCAAAGGCCACCCAAGCCTTGCATGCCCCGTGGAACCTAGGGAGCCCTGCGAGTGGTGTTCCCTCTAAACTGAGTTAGTGTGAGCTAGCTCACAGTTTTTTAGCCTCTGGCTCACACATTTTGGTCTTAGCTCAGGAAGGAGGGCTCCAGAGCAAGCTATTTTATGCAGTGGCCAAATCACCTGCTCACAACTTTAATGCCCGTAGCTCACAAAGTAGAATTTTTGCTCACAGGACTCCACAGCTTAGAGGGAACATTACCAAGGCACGCACCCCTTTAGGCAGCTCGTTCCAAAGGACAGAGGCCACTACTGAGAAGGCCCTCGCCCGTGTTGACACAAGGCAGACAGTTCATGGACCAGGGACCTTCAATAAATGCTGATATGAAGATTGGAGAAGACGGCCGGGATCATGCTGGGGCATTTGGGGGCAGAGCCCCACCACCTACAAGCCCTGCCCCACCTCCTGACAATGCCAGACCCCACCCCCAGTACGTTTAGCCCCACAGCTGCAAAACTGGAGAAAGAAAGGGAAGCCACTCTGCAGCTTCTGGTCAGTTCCCCCAACCCATCGGCTGTTAGGTTGTGGGGAGCTGGGGAAGGAAAGGAAAGCTGCCCTCCTGCTTTTGGTCAATTTCACTCCCTTCCAATCAGGGGTTAAACCTAACAGCTGTTCCTCCAGGAGTGAAACTGACCAGAGGCAGCATGGCTGCTTTCCTTTCCTTCCCCAGCCTCCCCACTGCTGCTGGGAGGGGGAGAAGGAAAGAGAGAGGGAGAGAAAAGGCATATGGTGATGGTGGTGGGGTTGCCCGTCTCCCTGGCATTACACGTGATGCCCAGGTGGACTCTGTGGCATTACGACCCACTGAAGTCTTGTGTACCCATGATAACGGGAAACGTCATCCATGCACAGATCAACAAGCCACAGAGGGGAGGGAAGAAATTAGGGATGCCAGCCTCCAGGTGAGACCTGGGGATCCCCCAGAATTCCAGCTCACCTCCAGACCACAGAGATCAGTTCCCCTGGAGAGAACGGATGCTTTGGAGAGACTCTATGGTATTGTGCCCCCACTCAGGTCCCTGTCCTCCACAAGCTCCATCCCCAAATCCCTGGGAGTTTCCCTACCTGGATCTGGCAATCCTAACCCCCCCCTTCCCCTTCCGGTGGCCGGGGGAACCTGGCAACCCTTGAGGAGACTGATAGTTGTTGTTCAGTCGCACAGTCGAGTCCGACTCTTCGTGACCCCATGGACCAGATCACGCCAGGCCCTCCTGTCTTCCGCTGTCCTCTGAAGTTGGCTCAATTTCATGTTCGTTGCATCTATGACACTGTCTAACCATCTCCTCCTTTGCCGTCCCCGTCTTCTTTGACCTTCAGTCTTTCCCAGCATCAGGGTCTTCTCCAGTGAGTGCTCCCTTCTCCTTTGGTGGCCAAAGTATTTGAGCTTCAGTTTCATTATCTGGCCTTCCAGGGAACAGTCCGGGTTGATTTCTTTTAGGATTGACTGATTTGATCTCCTTGCAGTCCAGGGGACTCTCAAGAGTCTTCTCCAGCACCATAGATCTACCATCAAATCCTGATATGCACCCATGTTCCACTTCTAGTGACATGACGGTTATCTTGGGAGCGCACGACATTTACGATTACGAAAAGTCTCAGCAAGTGCTTGGGGTTGAATCGTACCACATGCACCCGGAATATGACCCGTTCTCCACTTCGAACGATATTCTCCTCCTGAAGGTAGCATGTTCCAAATCTTCTGTTGCCTCAGTCCCTGAATGATCCCAAAGCAAAGGGCCTCAGACATCCCCAGATATAATTTTTCAGGCATTGCTTTCTGAGCCCCCCCCCCCATGGGACAGCTGGCCGGAACCCGTGCCGCGAATTGGGAATTCTATGACAGCTTGCTGGGCTTCAGGCCAGCTTTCCCCAATAGGTGACGCTGCTTTCGAAAAACTGGAGAACTGTAAGAAATCAAAGCAGAAAAGAACAGACGTTTTAAAAGGCGCAAACCTGCCAACAATGAGCACCATCCTCAAATAGTTTCCAGAAGTTTCCCCTAAAGAATCTCTTCCTGTCCAGAGTCGTAACAGCCATACTGCTTCTGTTTTCAAGACCATGTCAGCAGCAGGCAAGTTTAAAACATCCACCGCAGGGGAATCAGGGCGGGGCAGGGCCAAGTTGAAGCAGGTGGCAGTAGAACGGGAGAGGGGCACCCCCTAGCACCATTTGTTTTTGTCAGACAGAAAGTTTCCTGTTCAAATCGAAGCTTCCCTCTAACAAGGCTGTGTAAGGATTACTGACTTCTGAAATGTTTATTAGTTCACAAGCCAGTGTTTTTGTAAGTGTTCTTTGGTTATACTCACGTTGGAGTCCTGGAGGTTAGAAAGGGAGATGTCGCTTTCCTCTACTTTTCTCATAACCGGGTTTCCTCTGCCTCGCCAAGACATACTTTTCTCATACTCACCAAGACATACTTTTCTCATAACCGGGTTTCCTCTGCCTCTATTCCTCTTAGTCTATAAATCTATAGAGTGTTGATCTATTCTTGTTCTGGCTGTAGTGTGGCCAAATGGCCAGCATGCAGGTGGGCTTAAGAGGGAGGACACTAAAGATCCTTTTCTCAAATTAAAGATGCATTCAGGGGGTTGGCCGCATTGGTCTGAAGCAACAGAACAAAGTTTGAGTCCAGTGGGGCACCTTGAAGACCAGAAAAGTTTAATTCTGGGTATAAGCTTTCCTGTGCATGAGCACGTTTGATTCTGGAGATAAGCTTTTGTGTGCATGCACACTTCTTTGAATTAAACTTATAGATACCCAGAATTAAGCTTTGCCACTGGACTCAAACTTTGTTCTAAAATTAAAGAGACATTTTTGAACTGAATTTCTCATTTTTTTCCCCTTCTACAGTACGCTGGGTGTTTTCAGTCAGGTACTGTTTTAATAGGGTTACCAGACGTTCTCTTTTTAGGAGCTGCGGTGGCTCAGGTGGTTAAGACGCTGAACTGCAGGCTGTGGAAGGTCAGTAGTTCAGCAGTTCGAGACCCAGGGGTGCTGCATGACGGAGTGAGCTCCCATCTCTGGCTCCAGCTCCTGTCAACCTAGCAGTTCGAAAGCAAGAAATTGCAAGTAGATAAATAGGTACCACTTCGGTGGGAAGGGAACAGCGTTCCGTGCGCCTTGGTGTTTAGTCATGCCGGCCACATGACCACGGAAACGTCTTCGGACAGCGCTGGCTCTTCGGCT